AGATGTCAAAATAATAGGTGTCGGCATCAGCCTTAAAAAAAAACATTGTTCTATTTATTAAGGTGGTCAAAAAGCTCTTTTGTGGCACCAGGTGTGGATGAGATTCAACCCGAGATACTGAAGTCTGAGGGCCAAGTCATTCAATGTGCACTGGGGTGGTTTGCAGCAGAATGTGAAGCGGCTGGGATGAAGGTCAGTTCCTCCAAGTCTGAGGCCATGGCTCTTGACTGGAATAGGGTGGAATGTCCCCTCCGGGTCAGGGGAGGAGTTTCTGCTTCAAATGAAGGAGTTTAAGTATCCCGGTGTCTTGTTCCTGAGTGATGGTAGAATGGAGCGGGACACGGATCGACAGATTGGAGCCTTGTCCTCAGTAATGAGGGTGTTGCTTTGGTCGGTTTTGGTGAAGAAAGAGCGAGCTGAGTCAAAAGGCAAACCAATAAATTTACTGGTCTGTCTGTTCCAATCCTCGCATACGGTCACGAGGCGTGGCTCAGACGAGAGCGTTAACAGAGAAGAGAAAGTAGAAATGACTGTCTGTAACTGAAAATATGGATGGAGGACAACAGAGCTGCTTCATGGAAGAAGAACCTCAGCTTAGCCTGTTAGCCTTCACGCTAGCCCTCACGCTATTTTGCCTTATTTGTATTAGCTCAGCGCTAGCGCAACAAACAAGCTAAACTGAGGTCCTCCATCCATATTTTCAGTTGCAGGCTGAGTCACTTTTGCATTCCCCTCTCTGTCATGTGGATGGAGGACCTCAGTGACGAGAGGAGAGGTGTATTGTGTGTGTACACATATGCTTCATGCTACGTTTCCATCTGCTTCTCAAACAGAGCGATACATTCTGACAGCATTTGTGAAGATATGTATCCGTATATTTATTAACTTAGCTGCAATTTCGACAAAATTATGGAGTCTTATTTTGAAAATACGGATGTTGTGCTCRTTCCTCTTCCTGTTGGTGCAACGTAATCTTTATAAAATGACTCCGGTGCAGCTCCAGCATCTGGCAGAAATAGGATTGGATCTAATTTTGCCAGATCGCAGTCCACTCACCGCCGCCCTGCGCAGCCAGTGTAAATACTCTCAATGATTATGGGTGCGCATTTGCTGTGGAGGTTGGACCGGAGCGGAGCAGAGCCGGACCGCATGTGGTGTAAATTAGGGGTTAGGAGGAYAAGGGGTCAGGTTTAGGCTGTAGAAATGAATGGAAGTCAAGTCAATGCAATGTCCCCATAAAGATAGCTGTACAAGACCTTGTGTGTGTAGGTAGGGGTATAGTTATATTAGATTAAAATGGTCTCCAAACAATATTAAAGTTTATTGCAATCATTTCTGAGGCAATTTATTGCCAGTAAAATGTTATCGTCACAGGCCTGTTAAGAACTGCGGTGACGTGTTCTACTTTTTTAGTTTTAGTGAGGATGCAGGCAGTGTTCAGGATCAGCTGCAGCTGTCTGACTAACTTTTTAGGCGGTGAAGATACCTTTACAATAATCAATCTGACAAAAGATAAATGTATAGATGAGTTTTTCAAGAATCTGCTGGGCCGTCAAACCCTTTAATCCAGGAAATGTTCTTCAGGTGACAAAGTTCACTAATGTTGTGTATAAACAACCAATGCGCCAGGCTACAAACACACCTTACTTACATGGCAACTCTGGATTTCAGTAACACCACTAAGGCTATGCTCACACCGCAGATGAAAGATTTTTTGCCCATTTGTGCGCCATATTGAGTTTTATTATGACAGTCAAAATGTAGCATATTTTCATTAAGAGTAGTTTTTCAAAGCGACCTCAGTCTGAACAGTCACGTTGCATTTCATTCCACTTTTACACCAKTGAAAAAGGGGGTATACGAATCGATACAGATATTATCGATAGTCATGCAGTTTAAAGCTCGGAACTCTGCGCGTCTTCAGCAGGGATCACACCAACATATGATACTACCGTTCGTGTTGAATCGTATCCAACACTAGCATGATGGGATCAATACGTCAGTTTGTTTTTCTTCTCTATTTTCAGTCGCTCCCTTCTCAGAAATGAAATTCTATGCCAAAGTCTGAATGAAGCAGCAGGATCAAATTTAAACACTGAACAAAATCAGTAAGGCAAATATTAAATTTAGTTGGTTTATTGCACAACTTCAGAATTGATCCATCCATGCTAACATATGTAGCATCCACATTTGCTTCTGTAAACACAGCATGCTGTGTGATGTCATGTCTTSTGAGCATGTGGGTGTAGACTTTTCACACTGGAGTCTGATGGAGTTACATTTCAATTATAATGTGAATAACCACTCAAAAAAATCCTAATTGAGCCTTAAGACATGTAGTGTAAAGCTTCATAATTATACTCCAACAACACAACCTTTTGTTTGGTATTAACAAAGAACGCTTCATTTAAATTGAATTCATAAAAGCATTAAAGTAAAAATGCATTTTTAAAAATTATTTCAAGAAGTTCTGACTAAACTTAAAGTAAAAACAAACAGTGGAAGACAGTCAATTTGCTGTGCTGTTGACAACTTGTAATTTGACACAGGTCTGCAGTTTCCACCAGCAGAGGGCTGCAGGTTTTAATGATTTTACTTTCTGTTTTCATTTCTTATACACAAACCAAACTGTTCATATACACCTCAAAGCACAGCTCCACAGAAAAAATCCTTGTGAAACAAATTGTGGTGCAATGATGTTTATCTTGGTTTCCTGACTTTTTTTGTATCACTGCTTATCCCTGGGTCAGAAATAGAGCTACATTTTTCTTATTAGGGCCATTTTGTATAACAAATCTACCATCATAGTTTGTGATTTGATAAGAAGGCTAAAAAGTCATAAAATGAAGGCAGCAGGTAGATGATTAAATAGAAATGATACTGTGAGTGTTTCCAGTTTTGTCCTCGATTGTCAGGTTAGGTAGCTTTACCGAAGATGAAGAGACTCATTTAGAAAACATTTAACGATATATATATATATATATATATATATAAATGAAACGTGTCTCACCTGGTCTAACATTCTGCACAAGCTTGACCCTCTCTCCACACACAGTGAAGCCGAACCCAAGCTGGTCCTTCTGCACGACCACACACCGGTGCACAAGACCAGCACCTGTTCAGGATTAAAACCTCAGTTTGACACGAAATGACCACCTAATGGACTACAACTCTTGATCTAGAAGCAATAGAAAAACTCTGAATAGGATGTTACTTGTACTCTCAGTGGAGACGTCTGCGGTCAGCTCTCTTTGCTGGCTGGCAGAGGATCGGCGATCCGAGTCCCCGGTCGTCAGACTGCTGAGCCTGTGTTTGAGGGACAAGAAACAAGACAATCTGTTGGAGTGAAATGATGGCAAACAGGCCAATTTAGAAGACAAAAATGCTCGGTCAGGGCCGACTGGAGTGGAAAAGCAGACTCTGAAGGCAATATATTCTGAAAGGGATAGTCACAGGACGAGAGCAGAATAAAGAGTGATGGAAAAGATCAAAGAGAAGACGATAATGCTCATAACGAGTAGCAGAAAATGAGGATGGGGTCAGATGAGAAGGGCCATAGATTAAAAAAAGAGTAAGAAAATGAGACAATGGACAATAAGAAAGCAGCAGATAGAAAAACTCACCAAGCAGCAAAAGGGCTGAAAGCGAAGCGTGGCGGAAAAGGAAACACAGATAAAAATGGACACAAAGGAGAGAAATTCACACAGAGAACCGATCACGAGGGAACAGTTCAGTCATCATAATTTTCTTTGTGTCATTTATTAAACAATGAAAGCAGACAAAACTCCACAGGATGCATCACCGCACTTCCATTTTAAGGCATTCATTGGCTTAAGGGTCAACTTTACAAAACTTGTTCCAAATGTAAAACAACCTATAAGGACTGCAGGCTGTGATGTTTACTCAGACACTAATAAGGGCAATCAGACCAGAACTGGAGGCAGTTTGTTTTTGTTAGCAGGATTACTTATTTATTATGGATAGATGAAAAGCACCAGGAAAGTGGAAATTGCAAATAACAGCGGTAAGAAGTAAGAGTGCATAGATAATGCAAGGTTTTAAAGAACTTTTAAAGACAATCACATACGGAGACTTATTTGCCTGTGGACAGTCTGTAAGAAGGATGGAACAAGTGGAAGAACTAGTTTCTGAATCAATAAACATCACAAGAAAATGTGACTGCGGGGAAATGAGGCGTGTTCTAAAACTTCTGTTAAAAACTACTAATGGAAAAATATTGGAATACAGCTTTTTTTTTTTCATGTTACAACCTACAAAAATCCATTTTCTTCTATTCAATTTAAAAATACTTTATTGATCCTAAAGGGAAGTTACAGTTCGGAACAACACATTAAAGAGAACAGGTGCTCCAGGTCCTGCAGCCATGAAAAGGTGCTACCCTTGATCCCTTGGATCTCAGTTTCCATCAAGCTATGGACAAATTTGATAATATGCGGCAGAGTGGTTAGGGGCCTTGTCCTGGAACTGGTAGGTTGCTAGTTCAATCCCGTTCTAGTTGTCTCAGTTGTTACAGTATGTCCTTGGGCATGGCACTTCACCCCTAATGCCTCTGATGTGTGTCCCATCAGTGTATGAATGTGATTGGCTCTGCTTAGTCTCCATAGCTGATTTATGCATGTTAGCATGTTAATTCATGTGTGTTAAACTGGTTCACATCTTATTTATCTGAACGGTCTTTTACTGTTTTTATGAATCAGGTTTACTCTGATGTTGCACCGCTGTCTTGTGGGGTACCCCAAGGTTCAGTTTTGGGTCCAATCCTCTTTTTTTTAATTGTACCTGTACCCTTTAGGAGGTATTTAAAAATGTTACAGTAATGTGTCCTACCATCTGTATGCTGATGACATACAGTTGTACTGTTCCTTTTGACTCTCTGAGTTCTTCAAACTATCTGAACTCAGTAACTGTCTGTCAGAAGTCAAAATATGGCTGAACAACAACTACCTGCAGTTAAATGCAAACAAGACKGAAACTCTTATTATCGCCCCTGATGATAAAATCCCTGTAATCAGGCAGCACCTTGCTTTTTTAACCCCTTCAGTGAAAAATAGTGTCAGAAATCTGGGTGTTGCCTTTGATAGTTCTATGTCTTTTGACAGCCATTGTAAAATTTTAGTTCGTAACTGTTTTTATCATTTAAGGAACATTTCAAAGCTGAGATCCTTTGTGTCACAGAAGGAACTAGAGATGGTTGTTCACGCTTTTATTTCTTCTCATTTAGATTACTGCAACAGTCTTTTTACATGTCTAAACAAATCCTCCTTGACTCGGCTTCAGTCTGTGCAGAACGCTGCAGCGAGGTTATTAACAAAGACCCACAGGAGAGCCCACATTACACCTGTTTTAGCCTCTCTGCACTGGCTCCCTGTGCATTTGAGGAGTCATTTTAAAATTTTAGTTTTAACTTTCAGAGCACTTCATGGTCAGGCCCCCAAATACATACTGGACCTTCTGAAGCCTCTCTGTCCATCCAGGACTCTGAGGTCTTCTAATCAAATGCTGCTGGTGGTCCCTCRAACCCATTATAAAACCCGTGGAGACAAAGCTTTTCAGGTGGTGGCCCCGAGGCTCTGGAACGCTCTCCCTCTGTCCCTTCGCTGCTCAGATTCTACTGACTCTTTTAAGAAACATCTGAAGACATTTTTATTCAGACAGGACTTTAGTTAAGTGCTTTTATTGTGTTTTAATTGTTGTTTTTATATCTGTGATCTGTTTTATTGTTTTTAATTATTTTTGCTTTCTGTGAAGCACTTTGTGATGTTTGTCTGTGAAAGGTGCTATAGAAATAAAGTTTACTTACTTACTTACTTAGCTTAGAGATCTAACAGAGTGCTGTGTGAATGGGTAAATGAGCACATACATTGTAGTGTGAAGCACTTTGAGTGTCCTGGTTGGGTAGAAAGGTGCTATACAGTATAAGTACAGTYCATTTACCATTTATGAAATTACCAACCAGGATGGAAAAAATTAGTCCTATTAGTACTTGTTGCTCAAATGGACATTTTTGGCACAAAAGACAAAAGTGCACTTCTGAAGTTAAAGGAGTGTTTAAAGTGTAAGTAGGGATGCATGTTATATCGGCTTTAACATCCGTATCAGCCGATATTGGTCATTTTTTAGAATATCGTATCGGTTCGATAAGTTAAGTTGGGTCARTACTAAAGTTTGATTTAATTTCCCACCTTTTAGCTTTGTATTTCTATTTTGCGAGGGGAAATGGTTGGTCGAGTCGTATCTGTTTAATCATGATAGTGATAATGATGTCGTGCTGACAGGAATAACTGAAGTACAGAGCCATCTCAATAGTCAGGTCATATTTTTACAGTATTAAAAAAAGACATGTATTTGTGTGTGTATATAAATTTGTGTATTTGTGTAATATCTGTAAATATCGGCTATCGGCCATAACACCGATAATAATATTGGTTATTGATATTGGCTGAAATTTTCATAGGAAAACGCTCCTCTAGTTAAATGCCTGTTTATAAGCTCTCATGAAGTTATAAGACCATGAACCTGGCAAAGACCTGATGCGAGAGTTCACTCCCCTAGTCTACAAAAAAGGAGTAGAATAGAGGGAGAAACGAAGAAAACAAGCAGGTAAATGACAACTTTTGTTCTCATTTTAATTTATAATATGATTGATTGATTTATTGTTTATCGTGACAGGACTATTTGACAAGCTAACATTTACAAAAATGTTTCTGAATGTTCTAAAAATTATCCATGTATTTTGTAAAAAGTAAAGTTTCATAACACACATGCAAACTCACATCTAGCTGTTTCAAACTAACGTGAAGTTCAGGCAGCATGCTGTTAAAATATGGCTTTGGTCCGAAACAGAACAAGAAGAATAGTTTTTCATTTCTGTTTGTTTCAATGGTTCATCTGAAATTTACGAGACAGCTCAGTTTGGGACTGACGCGTGTTCTGTCCACCTCGAATCATTTAGAAGACGCACACAGGCGGAGGTAAGTGTCAAAGCCAGGAACTGGCCAGCAGCTTCTCCACAGAAACATGGAGAATGACCAAAGCGACGCAGATAGTTTCACAGCAGTGGAAGATTTTTCACCCCCTTCATCACTGGAGGTTCAGAGAGGTTTTGTGGAGCCGTATCAGTTCATGCCATTGGCTCAAGACACTGACTCAGCGAGGCCCAAAGCCGGAGCTGCCAAAGCAGTAGAGGACAAAATGGGTCCAGTTTTTGAGTGTTGAAGCGATGTTAGCAGCAGTAAAGTGGGCGAACATTATCGAAGTGCTCGCTGTTCCAACTCCTGACTTGCTGCAGGCGTGTGTGTCTGAATGTCCGGAGCTGTTATGTAGACATGAACTAAGCTGTACTGTTGTAACCAATAGGAAAACTCAACTGCAGTAGCCAACATTCAACCCGTAGAGGGCAGCACTAAAAAGGTTTTAGATTGAATATTGCAGAGTTAAACAAATTTACACAAATTTTTCAAAATTTGTATAGAAATAATAAGATTTATACTTCTTTCTGCTCCTTTTCATTCATGGTTTTATTGTATTTTTTGTTGTTGTTTTGTTTGTTTTTATTTTTGATTATTGTATCACTTGTTTTTATAGATTATTTTTTATTGTTTTATGAATGAATGAAATAAACACAATAATATTAATACTTGATTAAGGCCCAGTTTTAGGCAGTTTATCTGCAAAAAAGTTGATTTGGGGTTTAGTTACACTTTAACTTACTTTGTTTCCTGGTTCAGACCAAAGCACAAAGCCTGCTTTGTTTTGACGGTAAGGTCAGCATTTTCAACATTGAACCTTGATTTAAAAAAAACTGCTAAGGATTTTTATTGTTTTTTATCATACAAAGCTTAATTGGACCAGTTACTATTTCAGAATAATCAAACTTTTGAAATAATGTAATTTTAAACTTGAGTTTGTTTTGTTGAGTTTTTTCCCCCACACACACATAAAGATAAGGAAGTAAACAGTGTCCTCCACATTTCTACCCAAATAATAAAATAAAAGGACAGGTTTAAGTCTACTGAAGTGTGGATCTCTGTTGTAGGCAGTTTCTCAGTTTGGAGAATAGAGATGATCCATCTTAATCTACAACAGGTAAGATTGAACTCTTCATTASGGCTAGGCAATATTGGCAAAATAATTAAATCCAGATTAATTGTGGTATCTAGCTGATAACGATTAATATGACAATCTAGAGTCCCTGCATGTCCTAGTCATATGACCAATTGAAATCACTCTAGTGGGGAAGATTTGACCTCCGTACAAATCTGTTACAAATTATGTCACAAGTACAGACTTCAGGCTGTACATCCAAGTAAAACTGGAGTTATGATGAATAAATTGCAGAACTTTAAAAAAAATGTTTGTCATATTTGGACATTTAGTTGAATGACTGGGGAAATCCAGTCTGCCAGGTGGCATTAATCGTATTAATCATCAAGTGTCAAAAAAAATCTATTAAAGTTTTTTTGATGATTAAATGCACACAATATGATTTTGTCATACTCTTCATAACTTATTCAAAGAACCTGTGAAGGCTGAAGAAGATAGATCTTAAAATTGAAAGTGAATAATTAATAACAGCAGCAGTCATGATTAGAAACCCAAATATCGGGAATCAATGCATTTAATTGAAAAAAAAAGTGTTTTTTTAGTAGAAGTCATTGAAATAGTTAAAATTAGCCAGATAGGTGGAATACGTTGGATAAGAATGCATTAGTCCGGTCCAGGAAATTGATTATTATCAAACTTATTTAATGATAATGCAGATTACTAGAGAGGTGACACATTTTGAGTCCAATTACACCTTTTTCTATCTTGTGCCTAGGGTTGGGCATAATCGTATCGTGTGCAATTAATCGTCAGAAAAACATTAATCGATTATTTTTTGGCACTTGACGATTAATACAATTAATGCCACCAGGCAGAGTCCGCTCGCTGCTCCTCTCTGCTTCAAATATGACCAACATTAAAAAAGTTCTGTAATTTATTTATCCATCAACACAGTTTTAAATTTGATGTGTAGCATGAAGTCTGTAAATTTGACACAATTTGGAACAGATTTTTATGAAATCTTTCCCACTAAATTGGTCATGTGACCAGGACATGAGGGTGTCCAGGGACGCCAGGGGATTAATTGTCAAATTAATCATTATCGGCTAAATACCACAATTAATTGTGATTAATTTTTTTGCCAATATTGCCCAACCCTACTTGTGCCTAACTCAGTCAGTTGATGGAGCAGAGAAATCTCTTAAAGCACGAGGGATGGTGGCCCTCGAGAACCAGGTTTGGACACACTACACATGCACAGGAGATGAAATTAAACATGAGTAATAAAGGTTTAAAAAATGCATTACAAATACAAACCATGCAGTGTGCACAAAGTATTTTGTACTTTTTTTCAAAAAGTCCTTTCATCACCTCCGAAGTTAACCTGTCTGACTCGTTTATTGTTTTTTCACAGCCTAAGTGGATCTGTCTGATAAGTCTAGCCCAACTGATTTGGGAGCGTTACGTTTTCATTTGCAAGGCCTCTGGATGGTGCAGCGAAACCCAGAAACCATGTGTTAGTTTGCRGATGTTAGGACCCCCGTACCTGTCCAGTGTGGATGTGGGCTGGCGGAGGCTCATGTCTGCTTCCTGGAGTGAGAGAAACACCGTCACAGGGCCTCTTCTGTCATCATCACCATCTTCCCTCTTCAGTTTTGATGTCCACACAATGGGGCTCTCTGTTGGGCTTGGATCAGATCTTTAAGGGACTCGGAARCTGGTTCAGATCAAACAGACTGTCCCTCATGTTCCCATTCACACCAGTGGCTCCGGTAAGGGTCRAGACTTCAGAAAATAATGTGCTGCTAAAACAAATCTCTTCAGTTTTCACCTGATAGTGGTTTAAATATATAAAGCAGAAGCTTGTAGTGGATTAATATGGAAGTTTCGATGTAGTGGCAACAGATTAAAAATGGTCTCTTTCCTCAAGGCTCATGAATGAATGAATGACTGTGCAGCAGATCCACAGCATTATAAATGTCAGAGCACCTACATCATTACAGGGTCAGCTTAATTGGACTCCTCCAGCASCTATGACTGAACTGATAATATCACAGGATTAATTTGAGTATATTTAGTGTTAACTTACAACCAACCATTGACACACTCAGACTTGTTTACATGAGGAGCTCTGAGCAGATGTCTAAATCTAAATAATCCTCTGAGCTCAAATGACTTTCCCCGTTTTCCAATCGTATTACATTGGCTATGCTCGCAGTTACACCGCAAACGGCGTTGACTTGTCTAATAACTAATATTTACGGCGTCCCACTTCATTCAGCCAACGTTAGCTTGCAGCAATCCGAGCTCCGAGTAGGCCTCCCCCGAMCAGCGGCATTGCGTGAATGGCCACGCCGACGTCGAGCGCCGCGTCCCCCCCTGCTTGCAGCAAGAGACGACGAGCTAACTGGCTAACCGGCTATCGGCTGCGAAATGAAAGCACAGCATGGCTTCGGCTACATCAAGACAAATGGCTAGAAAAGTGCTCGACACCCTCCGGTTTGGTATTAAAGCCCGGTATGTTCAGGAGTCCGGTTCTGGTGCAAATTCAGACACAAAATAGTTGCATGTAAGCGAGTTACGTGTTGGAAGGCATTCCTCCTGTTAGAGCTCCACTTTACAGTAGCAGGTCTTCTTTATCAAAACACGGATACAGTCGGTTTTTATGTTCCATTCGAGGTATTCCGGGTATATCCAGGGCTAGTAATAATCGTCGTTTCGCATATATTCATTGCCTTTACTATCCCTGCTTCCAAACAAATTGTGGTGTCTTCTGCTGTTATCTTGATGCCCCGACTGCTGATCCAAACATCATCTCCTCAAAGATCAAAGTTCAAACAGCGCCCTCATCTGGACGGAACCAGAAACTGCAGACAGCTAAAGTGGGGAATAAATATAGTCT